TTACTACTGATGCCGTCATGTTTACTACAATTTCCATTTATGGTCATGACACCCATATTTACGACCCTATCGGAAGACGGACGAAGTTTCAAACATGGCAGTCAAATCAGATTTCGATTGCACTTGCTACGTAAACTTGATAATTTCACGACATATAAGCAGGGTATAACTTAAAATTATGTAGTCGATCAACAGAAAAAAGTTCATATTACAAACCTAATAGTGGATGCGGATCCTGTCAATTAATTCTTAAATCGCCGGTGTGATTCACACCAGGCTTGCTCAACTAAAAGTAAATTTAGGCATGGGATCGCCCGGCCGGGTATTACTATTAGTACTAGCCTCTGGCCTACTCTAGTTCCATATTTGTATTCTAACCTGAAACTTTTTTTCCTTCGCAGTATTACCATTTTGTTCCATTTTCATCCTAAGATAAAGAGGTGTCACAAACGCCTGCTCGATAACAACTCGGCCAGAAACGAAAAATATGCGCCGATAAGCCTACATTTTGTATGTCTGTTGGTGTGATTTGTGTATTTCATTTATTCGTCAAGTATTACCATATAAAAGGACGATCTTTTTCATTATACACAATAACAACAACAAATGAATGCTTGATGAAGATAAATCTATTTCGCCTTCGGAATGATTTCAGACATGTACTACGGGAGAAGACGAGTGATCTCCCTTACAGTAAGCCTTAGACATGCGCACAATTTACTTTCATTTTGTGTAGGCCTAGATATCGTTAGCAACGCGCAGTGGAAAAGACGAAAATGCAGGCGAGTGTAGGCTTTATGTAAGGCAGGTTGTTTAAGCAGCATTGACATTGAACAATATGCATACATTTCGGCAACGTTTACATACAACTCATCTTCAGTCACACCAGGAGCGACACAATCAGCTGTCCATAACATCTTCCTGGACACACTGGACACATTCTCCCTGACCAACGTCCAGAAACAGCCTAGTAGGAACGGAAATGTCCTAGACCTCTACATCACTAGCAACCCTTCTCTTGTTAAACATGTACAGACAATCCCCGGTATATCAGACCATGATATGGTAACGATAGACGAGGACATCAAACATGTGTACCACAAGAAGAAGCCGCGTAGAGTACTGATGTACAAGAATGTTGACTGGAAGGCTGTTAAGGAGGATGCGACCAACCTCAGTGACAAAATCATTAATTCTAGTGACTCGGTTGAGGAAAACTGGACGAAATTCAAAAACGGCTTAAATTCCATCATTGACGAGTGCATTCCATCCAAATTGACCTCCACGAAACCAAATCAGCTTCCATCGGTTGGCAGACCAGAATGCCGCCTCATAAAGAGGAAACATCGCCTCTACAACAAGGCTAGGAAAAGTGGAAAGGATGCTGACTGGCGTGCGTATAGAGTCCACAAAAGGGAAACCCAAAAGGCTCTTCGAACCGCAGAATGATCCCACTTAGAGCGTACATTGCAGGCAGGAATTGAGCAGAAAAACAATAAACCCTTCTGGCCAGGAAGCAGGACAACAGCGGAATTGCTCCACTAAAAGAGGGTAACAAACTACTCACCGACAGTACAGACAAGGCGGAGGCCCTAAATCGACAGTTTCAGTCGGTGTTCACAAAGGAGCCCCCCGATCCGGATCTCCCACCTCTCACCACACCCAAATACCCCATCATGAGGAACCTCATTATAGATGAGAAGGGAGTTGAGAAGTTGATCCGCGAAATCGAAGTCTGTTAGGCTAGCGGTCCAGACAACCTTCCAAATCGTGTCCTTCAATAGTGCTCAATCGAACTTGCCCCGGCAATGACCCATATATCCCAACAATCGATTCTGACCGGTGAACTCCCTGATGACTGGAGGAATGCCAACATCACACCAATCTTTAAGAAGGGTGACCGCCATCAACCCAGCAACTACAGGCCAGTGTCGCTCACGTGTGTGTGTTGTAAACTGGTTGAGCATATTATCTGACGCCACCTCAAGAACCATCTCGAGGAATACAACATACTGACACATCTACAACATGGCTTCAGGTCAGAACACTCCTGTGAATCCCAGCTACTAATTACCACCTATGACATCACCAGCATGTACGACAGGAAGCTACAAGTGGACACTGCCATCCTGGATTTCAGTAAGGCCTTCGACAAGGTTCCCCATTCAAAACTCCTGTACAAACTAGAGAATTTCGGTGTGAATCCCGACATACTACAATGGATCAAGGCCTTCCTGACATCAAGGACACAACGAGTACTTGTAGACGGCAGCCATTCAACACGAGTGAAGGTAGAATCAGGGGTTCCCCAGGGGACGGTCCTGGGACCTATACTCTTCCTCTGCCACATCAATGACTTGCCCGACTGCGTAACATCTACTGTACGTCTATTCGCTGATGATTGTCTGCTATACCGTCCAATTCGATGCCTCCAAGACCACCTGGACTTCCAAAAAGACATAATATATATATCTTAGTATAACTTTTGCCTTAGCTTTCAGTACATTCAGTACTTTGATTCTGAAGTGCTTTTAAACCCGTTTGGAGACATATTTTCTCAGATATTATAACATATTTTCCTGTTGAAGCTTTCATTCAGACTTTAACTTAATTTCAAGTTTTTTTTATAGTAAATCTACATCTGATTAGGTTTTCCCAATTTTCAACTGATTTATGTGAATTAAAAGTAGCGAGAGCAATCTTGTATTCTCTGAACCGTTGCTTACATTTACCATTGAACCAAGGCTTACCTTCTATCGCCGTCGCCTATCTCTGATACGTTCTGTAGCAGTTTTACAACAAAATGGTGATTCTTTGATTAAACATATTCTGAAAACGTACAACGTTATTCGCTAAGATCCGAGTCAGTACATAGTTCTAATTACTCAGCAGAATTAGTTAACAGTATTTCTGTGATCGACTAATTTTCGTTCTTTTGGTTCTAATTCCGTGGTTCTACATCAACAGGTTCTTTCACGGAGGGAAACAACGGAGGTAATGAGAATGAAACTGGAAAGTGATCTGAAAAAAAATAAAAACACCAGACTCAAACTGTGCTATGGTCTTCAACAAAGTATCAGGGAAATAAACATGATCAATAAGACTGGCTCCATTGTTACTGAAAAACGTATAACGACCACCAACTATCACCAGCATGTCTACCAATCGGCCAGTTACCTCTGACAGTCTTGTCTCAATCCCCGATGTGAAGGGGTGTGGTGTGAGCAGACAAGACTGAGCGTGCCTACATCAACAGCCAGGCATACTATTCCACAGGGATCGATACTAGTGTCCCTTTTATTTTATATTGACGACTTACACGTACATGCAGATCATGTATGGATTTATTTTGTAACAGCTAAGGAATTTGAGGGGAAATACTGCCTTACTCGCAAGTTAGCTTTTCCAGTGATGCGGTATGACCCGGGACCCCTTTCACTAGTTCATCAATGTCGAGTGTGGTCAGTAGATGGATTTGCATGGACATTTTGATTACGAACGATTTCATTTATTGATTAGCGGTGAACAGGTGAACCCTGATCCTCAATCATAAACAAAGCGGTTCGATATTACCATCTCAACACTGTCTAAGTGAACAGGGGAACCCTGATTCTCAATCATAAACAAACCGGTTCAATATTATCATTCTCAGACAGTCACTATTTTTTTCACATTCTTTTTAATCAGCAATGCTTAAATATTTCACATAAATAGTGCAGAAAAGTAATCGGTAAAAACAAGAAAAAGCAAAGACAAGTAATATTGTCGCGACATTTTCCATGTCAAGATTTTGCAGTACTTGTCGAAAGTTGAAATCCCAGATGAATCAATATTTGAATTTCTCCAAGGTTATCTTCATTCATGACGATCATTTGAACCAAATTTTAATTCAATGCGTTGTTACATTGAATATGACCATGTATAGATTTCTAAAAATAATAATATTAAACCTTTTGTTCAATTCGAATACTGTTAAGACTAACTGATAGATTGAAAATAATATTGTATCGCGTTAAATATCGCAAATGTCTCTAAGATTGATAGGTACCACTTTAATTGACTGATTTTGCTTTGACTTTAATTAAATAGATATTAAAATTGACAGAAATTTAAGATTAAGATGTAATGAAATGTAAAAGCAACAAGAGTATATTGATGCATATATTATAAGATGTTTTCATGATTTTCATGATTTTCTGATTTTTTTTTTAGTTCTGTCCCGAGAACGAAATGACGGACCCACTTCCGTTCGGGGTGCGTGCGCATATTTCAGTCTTGCATGCTTCCGCTATATAGTTTCGTTATCGATAAATAGAAAGTAGAATCTCTGACACTCACCTGTGGGTTACATAAAGTCTTCTGATACTCTTCTCCAAATAATAATCCATACTTTAAATAATTGCTGAAAACAACATGTCTCTGGTGCATTCTACGAGTGTTGTGGTGGTGAAATTCGTGCACTGGGTTTGAGCGTTTTAGCAACTCGGATTGAGGCCTGAGGAGGTTTACGCGTGTGAAAAACATATGATTCGAGAAAGCACATGTGAAGACTGTCAAGCATTGACGCTGTCTGTAGAAGGAAGATTAGATATATATACTTATAAACCGTATGAGTGATGAAGTATAACCTTTGGCACCCGAGGGTTTTTCAAATTTGACAAAGCCTCAAAGCCGAGGGTTTTGCCAAATTTGAATATCCCGAGGGTGGAATTCCCTATCCGTTACACAAATTTCCTACACCCCTTTCTTACACTGGACAGCTCTATCTTACACTCAGGGAAATGAGAGAAAATGTTTTGCTATCTTCATTTTTGTTACAATATTAACGGACGACTTAAGGATCCTTGTCCCGCTGCACAAATTCTAAACATCAGATATTAAAAAATAAACCTTTGATTTGATGTACCATCTGTGACAAAAGAAACAAATTCTGTATTTGGTGACATTCTTTATTTTTTCCTCATACTCAAAGTTTATGTAATCCGGATTAGCGAGAAACCGGTTCCGTTTTATCTTTTAGTGCGTATAGTTGACTTCCGGCTTCAGATGCCGGCTGATTTGCCTATGACTTTGTAACTAACGTATTTGGTGAAGTTCAAAGTCCAACACATCTTTATTATCGTTCTTATACAGAACCGGGGAGCTTTGAAATATTTCAATTGGAGAATCATGTTCAGGACACATGTGAAAACCTTGACAACCCAATATACACGTCTACAGAGAGTTGGACAGGTAAACTATCTGTCATTCATCAGGTCCAGTACACTCTGCCGATTGAGCTATATAGCTGTAAAGACCTATAATAGCTCTATTGACCTATCTGAAAAAGGTCTTTTGAGCTATTTTCAAGTGATTTTCTATTTTAAGGAAAACGAAACAAAGTCGCTTTTTAAAGAAGATTGTATCATTAGGTTGATAACAAAAGACATAAGTATTCCTTTTAAAAAATAATGATGTAAAAAATCGGAAATTTTACATTTATGAAAAATGAAAATAAACATCTAAATGTATGCTTTTTGTAGTCAACATTACCATAAACCTTATTGTTTTATGCGACTTTGCTTTAATTTAATGAAATTTGAAATCTGAGAAAATATAGCTCAATACAGCTTTAATTTATAGTGTATATAGCTATATACATGTAGCTCAATCGGCAGAGTGTACTGGACCTGTTCATGTGCATTCAACTGTCAAGATTATTCTAATTTAGACTGCGAAAAAAACGCCTAATCATTTCCTAAAGCTGTAAATGTTAACACTGTTGGTAACAAGCTTTTTGATTTTTGTGTGTCGCCTGCAACGTGAGGCGACATATAGTTATTACTTTGTCGTCGTCGGTTGCGTCGTACGAAACAAGGTTTCCGTGCGATAACTTGAGTAACCTTTGGGTTGATTGAACTCAAACATGGTACACATATTGCTTATCAATATAGCTCGGACAAGTTTTTATTTCATAAGTTTACGTGCATTTTTGGTGGAGAAATGCCCCTTTTATTGCCAAATAAGAGCAATTGTGTAATAAATACAAGAACTTTTTATGTTTTTAATCAGTTCCTTTCAAATTTTGTACGGTAATGCTAGAAGCAAAATAATGTTCAAAATATATCATAGGTTTTTTCTGTCGAGTTTCAACTTTCCGCATTTTGGCATTTCTGTTTACGCAATAACTGAGTCTCACTTAAAAGTGTCTTCAAACGACAACAAATGTCTTCAAGTGACAACAAGCATCGCCAGAAAAAATCTTCAAAAAAACTGAATAAAGTAAGCGACATCAGAAGATATGTTGCTAATATGACAATAATACACCTCTGTGTCAAATTTCAATTTGATAATTGGAAAATTGACCGAGTTATGATGAATTGAATTTTTACGGTCGCGGCGTGGCACATGTGTGTATAAGCATGTAAAGTGAAGAATGCGTCGCCAGATACTATCGTTACAATTACTCGCTAAAGTAAGCGACATCAGAGGATATGTTATTAGTTAGATTTTTATTGATATATATATATATTCCAAATTTCAGCTCGATATTTGAAAACATGATCGAGTTATGATTAACTTGATCGCATAAGCTCGATCGAGTTATGATTAACTCGCTTCGCATAAGCTAGCTCACTTGGCCCCGAAGGGCCAAGTGAGCTTATGCGATGGTGCAGCGTCCATCGTCCGGTGCCAATATTTTACTTTAAACAACTTCTTCTTAATAACCAAAAGGCCTAGGGTGATGATATTTAGCAAGAAGCAAACTAGGCTACCAAGTTTGTTCAAATAAATGACCTTCACCTATTTTCAAGGTCACAGGGGTCAAATATGTTAAAAACTTTAAAGAATTTCTTCTGAATAACCAAAATGCCCAGAGTGATGATTTTTGGCTAGTAGCATGCTGGGATGAAGGGCTACCAAATTTGTTCATATGAATGACCTCCGTCCATTTTCAAGGTCACAGGGGTCAATTGTCTTGAAAAAACTTTATACAACTTCTTCTGAATAACTAATAGGTCTAGGCTAATGATATTTGGCCAGTAGCATGCTGTGATAAAGGGCTACCAAATTTGTTCGAATGAATGACCTTGACTTATATTCAAGGTCACAGGGGTCAAATATGTTTAAAACCTTTAAACAACTTCTTCTGAATAACCAAAAGGCTTAGGATAATGATATTTGGCCAGTAGCATGCTGGGATAAAGGTATACCAAGTTTGTTCAAATGAATGACCTTCATCAAATTTCAAGGTCACAGGAGTCAAATATGTTAAAACCCTTAAACAATTTCTTCTAAATAGCTAATAGGCCTAGGGTTGAGGTATTTGACCAGTAGCATGCTGGGGTGAAGGGCTACCTAGTTTGTTCAAATGAATGACCATGACTTATATTCAAGGTCACAGGGGTCAAATATGTTAAAAACCTTTAAACAACTTCTTTTGAATAACTAAGAGGCATAGGGTTACGATATTTGGCCAGTAGCATGCTGTGATTAAGGGCTACCAAGTTTGTTCAAATGAATGACCTTCGTCCATTTTCAAGGTCACAGGGGTCAATTGCCTTAACAAATCTTTAAACAACTTCTTCTGAATAACTAAGAAGCCTAGGATAATGATATTTGACCAATAACATGCCAGGATGAATGACCTTTACTTATTTTCAAGGTCACAGGGGTCAAATATGTTTAAAACCTTTAAACAACTTCTTCTCAATAACCGAAAGTCTTAGGATGATGATATTTGGCCAGTAGCATGCTGGGATAAAAGGCAACCAAGTTTATTCAAATGAATGATCTTAAACTATATTCAAGGTCACTGGGGTCAAATATGTTTAAAACTTTTATACAACTTCTTCTGAATAATCAAGAGGCCTAGGATAATGATATTTGGCCAGTAGCATGCTGGGATAAAGGGCTATCAAGTTTGTTCAAATGAATGACCTTTACATATATTCAAGGTCACAGGGGTCAAATATGTTTAAAACCTTTAAACAACTTCTTCTAAATAACCAAAAGTCTTAGGATGATGATATTTGGCCAGTAGCATGCTGGGATAAAGGGCAACCAAGTTTATTCAAATGAATGATCTTTACTTATATTCAAGGTCACTGGGGTCAAATATGTTTAAAACTTTTATACAACTTCTTCTGAATAACCAAGAGGCCTAGGATAATGATATTTGGCCAGTAGCATGCTGGGATAAAGGGCTATCAAGTTTGTTCAAATGAATGACCTTTACATATATTCAAGGTCACAGGGGTCAAATATGTTTAAAACCTTTAAACAACTTCTTCTAAATTAGCCAAAGGCCAAGGGTGATGATATTTGGTCATTAACAGGCTGGGATGAAGGGCTACCAATTTTGTCAAAATGAATGACCTTCGCCCATATTCAAGGTCACAGTGGTCAATATATGTTTAAATCTTTAAATGACTTGTTCTGTATAACCAATAGGTCCAGGGTTATGATATTTTGCCAAAAGCATGCTGGGTTGGAAGACTTTAAACTCTGTTCAACCTAATGTCCTTGTTCGACATTCAAGGTCACAGGCGTCATATGTTTAAATCTTTTAATAGGTTCTTATGAATCAAACACTGATATTCTGCCTGTAGCTGTATTTTAGTCCACTTTTAAGATTACAAGTGTGAGATTAATACAAGGTGAGCGATTCAGGGCCATTGGTCCTCTTGTTTCTTTTGTGAGACTGTAAGGACTGTGCATTTGTCTGGATGGAAAGCCATCAACCAGTCTTGCTCCCACCTAGCAGCTGCATCTAAATCCAACTGTAGTGCATCACAGTCACTTTGGGATTTGATGGTTTTGTAGATGATACTGTCATCGGCAAACAGTCTGGGCTTACTGGATGATAAGTACTCTGGTAGATCATTAATGTATACCAAGAATAATACTGGGCCCAGAACTGTGCCTTGAGGGACACCTGATGTGACAGAAGCCAGGTCAGATGACTCCATCCAGGACAACTGTTTGTGTTCTGTTACTTAGAGCGTAATTTTCGAGTTTCTCAGGACTTTTTGAGAAAGATGGTGGCCCTGAAAAGTCGTATGGAACACGTTTAGGAAGATATTGGTCAGTAAAGATTTCAGTCACACGAACAGATAACGGACAGATGCTCTACCAATTGAGCTACCTGATAACTGAAGATCGACCCACTCCAGTTATGCTACACTGGAGAACCAGTCTTGATGGTATTGTCTTGTTTGATAATGTTAACATGTAGCTTCTCCATGTGCAATGGATGGTCTTATTAGGAGGATTTGTTTCAGAGTAGTCCAGCCCATGTTTTGATATAATTAAGTACCCCAAACGAAGTTTTCCTATACTAATATGTGACTTAATTCTCAAGTTCTGGTGCGTATTGATATAGAGGAAATAATTTTCAGACATCTAACAGTTTAAAAAGTGGGTTAAAATACTAAATGTTCTGACAGGATCTTGTTAATAGCAAGAGGCATTGCATTTACAGGGGTGATCAGACCAGAACTTGTTGAGTCTGTGTTTAAAACTATTTACACTTGGGGCATTTACCACATGGTTTGACAGACTATTCCAGGACTCCACAACCCTGTTGCTGTAGCTGTTACTGCTTATTTGTCTATTGGTTCTCTTTTTGAATAACTTTCTGTTGTTCCCTCTTGTTCTGGTTTCCTGGGTTTTAGTGAACATTTTGCTGTGATCTACTATGTCTATTCCCTCTAGGATCTTGAATGTTTGGACCAGGTCAGCCTGGACTGCCTGGTGTCTTAAGTTCTGTACTCAGTCTCTCTGAGAAGGGTTTGTTTGCCAGACTGGGAACTAAACAAATTGCCCTCCTTTGTACATTTTCCAAAAGTTTAATGTCTTTCAGCAAGTTCAAGGTGTGGGTGGACTAGAGATTTGTACAGTGTTAGAAACATATTTTTGTCCATAAATGTAAAAGTTCTAAAGATGAGACCTAGTTTCCTGTTGGCTTTTGCTACTGAAGTTGATGTATGATTTTCAAATTTTGCCTTGCTGTCTAGAATAGGATGTTATATTTCCAGGTTCCAGGCTACATGTAGCTTGACACCTGTTGACGTTAAATCAAAAGAAGCCTTGCTTTTGTTGTTTTCATGTTGATGTGATGCTCACATCCTTCAATAATGATTGTCTTCTGACAGTTCAATCCCTCTGTAATGGTAGTGGTGAACTTTCTGTAATTTGTATCCCATCATGTAGTAGTCAATTGTTAAGGGTCTTCTTTCCTTTGTTTCTGTTATAATGAAATATTTTGGAGAGTAAAATGTCATCTGCCACCACTTCGACCATTCCATCAGCTCCCTTAGGTAGCAGTGTACAGTAGCGTACAGTGGCCATGGGTGATATTTTTGTACAATGAATAACCCCTGTAATATTACATGTATCAAAAGTTAAAAAAAAACCCACTCAGCTCTAAAATTGGCATATACATGATGAATTGGACTAAGTTGGCTTCACATTTTAAAAAAAAATCGATTTTGGCTTGAGACTACATTTTTAGCCATTTACGAATCTGTGTCTACACAACAAAAGCTAGCTTTTTATGTAGTCTGTCTTTGTACTCAGCACATGTGTAAATATTGTGAAAAATCCAATTTGCAACCCATGCTAAAACGTGAGTATTTCTGTGACTGAGTAGGTGATATTATTTTTTTTGGATTTTTTGATGTGGTAACCATGGTTTTCCCAAGTCCCAAATCTGGGGAAATCACTTTTTGAAAAAAATATCATTCTTCTAAAAAACCTGTATTCAAAATGTAGTTTATAAATATATATGTATATATGTAGGTGTGTTGTGCAGGATGAATCCGCTATCCAAGTTTATCTGAGACATGCCCTTTATTTTCAGGGTCAAGCCATTTCTACTGTACTCTGCTACCTTAGGTCTTCCTGTAGTCTTTTACTGCAGTCCATGTCTATGATTCTTCTGAATAATAGTGAACCATCTGTTAATAGGTGTATAGTGATGACTGTCCTGGGTTATTATCCAGGAAACAAAGCAGTCCAAGAACTGTGCCATGAGTGACTCATGACTTTACTCAGGAAGTCCAACTTGTCTCGCAATCTACACAGATTCATTGATATCTCTGCATCAGCTATTTTGAAACCCTTTGGATTTTACACTTTATACTATAGTGCTCTACCCTGTGCAACAGTCATCAATCAATATGGTACATGGTATATGTATCTGCATGTCGACTTGTTACTTTCTGTCCAGCTATCGTGCCACTTGTATCTCACATGAGTGATGTCACCTGGCTCCATACTGGTGGTCTGCTAGAATCTTGTTAATCCTTGAAACTGCAGGACTGTGATATCAAAAGTGCTGTGTATCACAAGTGTTGTGATGATACGATACATATCATCACGATACATCGATCGCAAAACAATATGCAGTTGAAATGTTAACTCTATGCAGTATGTCTGGGGAAAAAGTTTGGTGATTTTGTTGTTTAACAAATGAATATATTGTTTTTACAGTTGGCAAAACAGACATTGAAAAATGGACCTCAGGCAGTCTACAGGTAATAAATTTTAACAACGGTGAAACATATATGGTCCGCATGGGAAAAGTCTGAAATTCTTTTTTATTTTGATTATTTGGAAAATTTAGGATAAATTTTATTAAATTTATAATACTCTGAAAAAGGTAGCAGGATTTTGATAATAAAGTTTTATTTATCACAGAAAAATAAATACCTTTTAATGTCTTTTATGTGTGATATGATATTTTACAGATTTAAATTGTATCATTTGTTTCATTGGAACATTCACAAAATGTGATGAAAAGTACAATTTAACAGAACTTAATTTTCAGGAAATTAGTTAAAATATCTAGGAATACTCACTGCATTTACTCAAATGAAGATACTTTAAAAAAAACTTAATGTAGAGATAATATGTAGATGAAACACAAAGCATGGTAATGCTGACAATTTGTGCATACATCCTGAATGGGCACCAGAATGGGTACCTGAATGGGCACCAGAATGGGCACCAGAATTTGTTTTGATGGCATCTCTGTATCCTTTTTAACCATTTCATTGACCTTTCCTCTTACAAGATCAACTATGAGACAACAGCTTCTCTGACAGACTTTTTTTCATTTTCTTATTTATACAACTTAGAAGTTAAAGTTTTGCAAATCTATATTCGTGTAATGTAAATATATGTTAAGCTGTTATATGTTATTGTTATTTCCTTATTCCCTCTTTGCGTATTGCAGAGTTATCTTTTCTTGTGTTGAGTGTTACGTCTTTGGTTTGTGTGAGAAAATTACATGGTTTTCTCAAAAATGGTGACGTTATTCTCACAAACAAATGTCGTAACAATCAATACCTGCTCACAAGAGCAGATAACTCTGCAATACGAAAAAACGGAATACATGTAGTTAGAAACCCCACCAAATCCCTGTATACAGAGAAACCCCACCAAATCCCTGTATACAGAGATTCATGGTCAGGAGGGAAGGTTTGGAATCCCATTTTACTTGGATTCATCAGGGAAAGGGTTAAAAAGAAAAAAGGACTTGGGTCATTTTTGGCCTTATAAAAAGTAAAAATTTCAACTTGAATGTATTTACAAATTTCTGTTATAAAAATCATATTGGTTCATTGGGGCTTCGTTGGGGCTATCTTTCTTGGTGCAGACTTTAATAAATGCGCATGCGTAGATACCCTACCATAGCAACAGATTTGTGTTGCTATGCAGAAATAGCCAAAATACAGTGTTTTGGACAGTTAGCATGCAGAAATGAGAGCCTTCGCATGTGACAAACAAAACATCCTTACTACAAATGAACACTAGTATGAAAATGTTCAAGCTTGTCAAATATTTGTTTCCTTGGTACATGCAGTGGCTTTCACATATTGTAGAGGGTTTAGTTAATTTGCTTCAAAATTGCCAATTTTCAAACAAAAAGCCTCAACAGACAATATATATATATTCACACTCTTTCTTTATTATGAAAATGCAGGTTTATATATTTTTTTGTTATGCCATATCTCTTTAACCAATTGTCGAATGAATCTGAAATTTCATATTTGCGTACTTCATTTATTCCAGATTACAAATATAACAACTATTTCTAAATCGCTTATGAGGCGAGAAATGAACCTTAACGTCCCTAGTCCTTTACATGTACCAATTAATTTTAATTCAATAACCCTACATACACTGTGCAGAAGTGTTCCAGTTAATCTAACGAAAGAGCTCCATTTATTGACAACACCAAAATTAAGCACTGCTACTGGAGCTCTAAAAATGTCATACCTGTGCATGTTGACATTATGAAAGAATATATTATTTTGTTGTCTGTATTTACCTGTTGGGTTAGCAAATTTTTACCTGTATATTTTATAAAAAGTATAATTTCTAAAAGTAAGTGGGCAATTATGTTTTTAAAAAAAATCAAAAAATATTCTATGATGAACATACATTGACTGTATAGTTTAAAAAAATTGGACTCAATTTACCCACTGTATTTAATAGTCCCCTATATATAACACTGCTTTTAGTCATAATTATCCCTATTATAGTATTATATATAATATTTTCGTCTTATCTATTTATTTTTTTCAAATTGTTACCGCTAGCTTCACAAATCATCAAAATGCTTCAAAATACTTTTGAAATGTTAATTAGTTCCAAAATTTTCATGAAAAGTTTTTAAAAATGAAAAGTGATTTTTTCAATAATTTTTGGTTCATCAAATAAAAGAAGTAAGTCAGTTTTACCAAAATTTTGGCTAATATTTTTGGATTTAATTTTAATATTTATCGTAGACCCATGTTTGAATTACCAACTGTGTATTTTTTTTACATTAAATATTAAAATGTATACATATCTTCCCAATCAGTACAAGTACTGGATCAGATTGGGAGTATCTGCAAAGGAGTATTGTTCCGACTGACCACTTCCAGGACAGTCTTCCACGATTAGCTATTCCCATACTTAAGCAAACATGTGAAAATTATCTCGAGTCCCAGCAAGTCATTCTATCGAAAGAAGAATGGGAAACTACACAATTTAATACAATTAGATTCATGGAAGAAGATGGAAAATGTAAGTTTGTGTATACATATTGTATGTATATATGTTTCATAACAGGCAACCAAAGATTTGGATTCATATGCTTAACTTAAATTAATATATCAATGTAAAGTTTTTTTTGTTTTTTTGTTTTCAATCTGAAAATTGACTGGTTTGCTGTTTCAGGAAAATTTACCATACCATATAGTACCTAATATTCACAATCATTTACTTGAGTCAATTCTCGGTGAAATACCACCTTTTTCCAGAGTAATCATTGATATGTTTTGGTTTTGTTTTCAGATTTACATCAAGAGCTGAAGAAACTGGACAAAAACAACAAACACACCAGCTATGTTTCCAGTAGGTTTTCAGCCCCTAACACCGAAGCCTAAGAATCAGATTATTAATTAAAAAATAGGGTGTAGGTGTTTACCAGTTTGGGCTCCGAGCTGGTCAGCTATACCTGTTACAAAGCACACTTGCTTGAACAGAGTTGGTCAACCAAACCTGCTACAAAGCACACTTGCTTGAACAGAGTTGGTCAGCCATACCTACTACAAAGCACACTTGCTTGAACAGAGTTGGTCAGCTATCCCTGCTACAAAGCACACTTGCTTCCCCCGAGTTGGTCAGCCATACCTGCTACAAAGCACAATTGCTTGAACAGAGTTGGTCAGCCATCCCTGCTACAAAGCACACTTGCTTCCCCCGAGTTGGTCAGCCATACCTGCTACAAAGCGTACTTGCTTGAACATAGTTGGTCAACCATACCTACTACAAAGCACTCTTGTTTGAACAGAGTTGGGCAGCCATACCTACTACAAAGCACACTTGCTTGAACAGAGATGGTCAGCTATACCTGCTACAAAGCACACTTGCTTGGACAGAGTTGGTCAGCTATACCTGCTACAAAGCGTACTTGCTTGAACAGAGTTGGTCAACCATACCTACTACAAAGCACTCTTGTTTGAACAGAGTTGGTCAGCCATACCTACTACAAATGGCAAAATGTTTTGATTTTGTTTGGCTGTATATGTTAATGAGGTTAAATTTTAGATAAATTGGTTTGTGTATCTGGATAAACCAGAAAAACAAATAAGTAACTAGTTTTAAAATGGTGAAGATGGAGGGGGAGGAAAGATAATTTATTTTCTTACGATCTGCTCAAAGACTGCTATTAATGAGTAAAGCTTAAGAATCTATTACTTTTTGGATCCCATAACTGTATCAAATTTGAGTGCTGTTGTTTTGTTATTATATTTCAGCTTATCAGCTGTGAAATGACAAATATTTTTTTCTGTCTTTCAGAACCATGGTTTGACATGTACCTTAACTCGCGCCTACCTATTGTATTGAACTTCAATCCGTTTGTGTCATTCGTTGACGATCCTCGACCTGAATATCGTACACAAGTATGTGTAATTTCATTACTGACTGTTTAATATTGTATGTATCCCTGCTTCAAAGGTGAGACAGAAAATCATAACCCAATTCAATTCAATAATTCAAGAGGTAAATTAGTGTTTGGAATCCGTTGAAATTTTATATTAAGTCATTGGTTAGCATTAACTAACCAATGATCAATTAATAATCATTTAATGAAATACATTGCGAAATTTTCCATGCTGTTGTGTTGTTACAAATCAACAATGATGCTATGTAATAATTACATCTTTCCAAACTCTGAACCTGTAATTTTTGGCCAGTTTGCAACGCAATCAGGGCTTATAGATTGGCGATTCCCATCCATCCACCTGTTGGTCTGTCTATCTGCGCTAAGGTTATGAAGAATGGTTAAGCTCAATTTCCAAGTTGTTTATTATCCCATATCAACTAATCTTGCATGGCTTATGTATCTAGTATGCTTATAACATGCAATGCTTTGAATCCTGGGTCTGACCTACATTTTCAGCTTGGCTGACCAGGTTAAACAGATTGGTTGAGGTTAGTCCCCATCTGCACTATGGTTTAGAAGATTAGTTTAGATCACTTACCAAGTAACTATTTGTCCTTCATCAACTAAACTTCGATAGCTTATGTATCTAAGGATGCTTATGCCATGTGATGCTCTACATGAAAATGTACTGAAGGAATCTGGCCATATCGCCATTGGTGGTTTCTTGTTTGTCCTAAGCTGCCATGGGCATGCTTGGAAATAAAAATAAGTCAGTGATGATGTCAGCATTATATTGAAGCTGGAAGTAAATATCAGGAGACTTCAGCTGCTTACCTCTTATTTGTATCTAGCAAGGAGTTAGGTTTGAAATCTATTAAAAACTCACTTTGAGGCCTTAAAGGTCTTCAAACAATTATTCTGACTAAAATTGACCAGGAAACTCTATAGTTAATTAATCAGTATGTTGGTCTAACTAACCCATAGTTGACAAAGTCAATTAATCAGAATACCACAAGTGGTGGGATTGTTAACGCATTCACCCCAGAAGGCACATTTGAATTCTTCCAATTGAAAGGTTGAGATAGTTCATTATGAAATTTCAGGGGTAAAAGATTGAAATGTCCAGCCAAAGTCATGATTATGATTAAAGATTAATGATTTATTTTCCTTTTAAAGGATGTTTCATTGTTAAATACTAATATAGAGTGTTTTCTATGTAAGCATCCCTGCTACAATATGACATCACTAGTTGCATGTATATACCCAATTAAGATTGTAGGGATATTGTAATGATGCTTGTCCGACTGTCAATTGATCCCCTTGTCAATTTCTGTACAAGGTCAAGGTCACTGTCACTATAAATAGAATATTGGTTTTTACACAACTACTCAAGCTTAAGCTTGAATTTCGTACAAAGTTTTTTTATCTAAAGTTCTTGCTCAAGACTTTTTCTCAGGACCATAGTAAAGTCAAGAACAGTTTTATTTCCTCTCAAATAATTTGTATTTCTATGATTTTTAAACAAAATTTTCGATTGATTTTTCATTATTTGTTTATTTCAGTTGCTTAGATCAACAAACATGATAGTGTCTTCCCTGCGGTTTCTAAAATCTTTGAGGGACAACATTTTGGAACCTGATGTTTACCATCTGAGACCTGAGAAAACAAAAAATGAAAAATTTAATAAATTTTGCAGGTACAGTAATTATCATTTCATGTAAGTTTATTTAAGGAAAATGAGGTGAAAGTTACCGTTGAGCACATGTAAATTGGAGTTGGTATGTAAAATACCAAACAAAACAAACAAAAGAGAAAGTCTTGCTCTGTACAAGTAGTCTTGTAGATTAAACTTCTTAATAATTGTTATGTTAGCTGTGAAAGAACAGGTAACCCACGTCTGGTATAAAATACTAAGTTCAAAATCATGTAAAGATACCAAGCAAGAGAGAAATGTCTGGCTCTGTATCTAAGTATAGGGAAATTTGACAGTACATGTACGACACAAAGTGACAAAATGATCAAAGGAAGTAATCCATGTTTGTTTTTAGAAAAGTACCGAAAAGATTTGCCTGGCATGGGGCAATTTTACACAGCAGACAAAGTGCATTCCCCTTGGACATGAGTCAATATGATCGACTTTTCAACTCCACACGAATTCCCAAGTAAGTTTTTTCCCAACATATCCTACCAGTAATCAATCCAATGTTTTTCCAAATTCACAAAAGCATGGAAATTCAATAAGCTTGTGAATATTTTACTGCATTTGACATTTGTTTAATAATGTTTGAAATAATTAAAAGAATTTGACATATTTCCTGCCATTCATTATTGACAGATGTTATGTTGATTTGAATAAGCTAAACCCAATAAATATACTAAAAACAATGTATATCCAGTAAATTTAGGGCTTACTGTCCACATGATTTCATGTAATAATTATTTTGAAATTTATATTTTTCAGAGAAGGTAAAGATGAGTTCCTAACGGATCCAAAAGCCAGACACATGCTGTTGATGAGAAACGGTCATTTTTATGTGTTTGATGTGCTGAACAGTGAAGGTGAGTGAACAGTGTATTTGAGAAGTGTTGAAAAACAATGTACTTCTCGGGCGATGTCAGTACATATCGGCGATTGCGACATCACTTTTATCGCTGATGCGACTTCATCTCTATTGTTGTTGGTACATTGCAGCATGTGTCTGGTGTGAGACAGAATTTTTGTTGATCATCAAAAATATACAATTCCCTGGTTGATAATTAGGTAATAGCCTTATATTAGGTTTGTTAAAATTATTTTCTTTTTCTTTTCAATATACATTTTTGCTGCAAATATCATGCTGTATGGATTGTGACCTGTTTGATTTTGAATAAAAAAAAAGACATATCAACCCCATGTTGAATAATGTGTAACCAAGGTACTATATCAAAATTTCTCTACCAGAAATCAAACCCTGGACTACAAATAATGTTAGTACTCTAAAGAAAATTCTCCCTATCCTAGTCCATAAAAACCGACAAGATTGTTTACCTCTGAAAACCGACAAGATTGTTTACCTCATCCCAAACTCGATTTTTGGAAAAAGGATAAATTTCACCATAAGAAAAAAAGTTGTCTTTAAAATCTTCTGGATTTTCTACATCTTTCCCTTTTGTACTTCTCATGCGATGTCAGTACATATCGGCGATTGCGTCTGTTTCTACTTAACATGTATGACCTCTGTTTCTACTTAACATGTATGACCTCTGTTTCTACTTAACATGTATGACCTCTGTTTCTACTTAACATGTATGACCTCTGTTTCTACTTAACATGTATGACCTCTGTTTCTACTTAACATGTATGACCTCTGTTTCTACTGTTTCTACTTAACATGTATGACCTTTGGTTTTACTTAACATGTATGACCTCTGTTTCTACTTAACATGTATGACCTCTGTTTCTACTTAACATGTATGACCTCTGTTTCTACTTAACATGTATGACCTCTGTTTCTACTTAACATGTATGACCTCTGTTTCTACTTAACATGTATGACCTCTGTTTCTACTTAACATGTATGACCTCTGTTTCTACTTAACATGTATGACCTCTGTTTCTACTTAACATGTATGACCTCTGTTTCTACTTAACATGTATGACCTCTGTTTCTACTTAACATGTATGACCTCTGTTTCTACTTAACATGTATGACCTCTGTTTCTACTTAACATGTATGACCTCTGTTTCTACTTAACATGTATGACCTCTGTTTCTACTTAACATGTATGACCTCTGTTTCTACTTAACATGTATGACCTCTGTTTCTACTTAACATGTATGACCTCTGTTTCTACTTAACATGTATGACCTCTGTTTCTACTTAACATGTATGACCTCTGTTTCTACTTAACATGTATGACCTCTGTTTCTACTTAACATGTATGACCTCTGTTTCTACTTAACATGTATGACCTCTGTTTCTACTTAACATGTATGACCTCTGTTTCTACTTAACATGTATGACCTCTGTTTCTACTTAACATGTATGACCTCTGTTTCTACTTAACATGTATGACCTCTGTTTCTACTTAACATGTATGACCTCTGTTTCTACTTAACATGTATGACCTCTGTTTCTACTTAACATGTATGACCTCTGTTTCTACTTAACATGTATGACCTCTGTTTCTACTTAACATGTATGACCTCTGTTTCTACTTAACATGTATGACCTCTGTTTCTACTTAACATGTATGACCTCTGTTTCTACTTAACATGTATGACCTCTGTTTCTACTTAACATGTATGACATCTGTTTCTACTTAACATGTATGACATCTGTTTCTACTTAACATTTATGACCTCTGTTTCTACTTAACATGTATGACCTCTGTTTCTACTTAACATGTATGGCATCATATTTGCTCTTTTACATGTATGATGTCCTTGTATGTTCTAGGTCATATTGAGAGCCCAGACAAGATCATGGCGCACGTCCAGTATATTCTTCAAGATAATCAACCTCCACCTGAGTTTCCTCTTGGCTATTTCACAGCAGAAAACCGTGACACATGGGCAGCTTACAGGGACCAGCTACTAGCCAATGGTCAGTATGTTGTACAAGTCAGCAATTTATCTGTAAATTCTTTTGCCTGATTTTTTTTACATTGCCTATATACAATATTTTTCACAATATATCATTATTACAATATGTCTCACATATGGTACATAATAACAATGTGTCTCACAAATGATACATAAATAATATAATATACATATATATAGTATACAACATTACATTTGCATACTGAGTATGTCCCACAAACTTGACATAAAACTTTAATAATAATAATAATAATAATAAACTTTATTTATTGAGGATACAAAACCTGTTTAGCAAAGCTAATCTTCCACAGGGTCCTCTGTTAGTAAAATTGGTTAGTTAAAAGACAGTAGTATCACAGCAAATAAATGTACATAAAATAATTGTTGGTCTACTAAAACAGCAATTCATATCACAGTTATTTCATAATTTAAACGGTCGTTCAATACAATTACAATAAAATTATCACAGAAGCACGAAATATATTCCGTGCTTAACCCATTATGGTTTTCATTAAAAGACAAATTGTAAAATTTACATATAAGCTAATGTAGCAAAAGCTAAAAATTGACAGAATACACGCTAATATAGCGAAAATAAAACAAATCAAAGCTGTATCTAAAAAGTATAATAGTAAAAATAAAAGACAATTAAACCGCATTCTTAATGTTACCAATCATATTTTGTTTGAGTTTTGTCAAGGAGGAAGAGAGTTGTACTTCAACCGGTAAATTATTCCAAATCTGGCTCCCTTGTACCAAAAAGTGTTTGGAATAAAATGTGGTACGGTGTTTGGGTACCTTGACAGAGTTTTGGGATGCTGATCTAGTATATCTGTTGTTAGACAAATTAAATTGAGTAGAAAGATATCCTGGAACCAGATTATTTATACATTTGTACACCATAACACCTCTTTTGAATTTCAAATATTTGCTAATTGGTAACCACCCTAATGAAGAAAACAGTTCTGCTGATGGTGTATCAAATGGAGCATCCAACAGTAATCTTGCAGCTTGTTTCTGCGCTTTTGACAGTTTTTGTAGAAGATTTAAAGAGCATCCGCTCCATACTGTGCTACTGTACATGAAGTGGGGAAAAATACATGCATGAAAAAATTTAAGTCTAGCTGAAAGTGGTAAATATTGACGGATGCGTCGAAGTAAACCCAAACCAGTGTTAATCTTTGAAACAACAGATGCTATGTGATCTAACCAAGATAAACTGTTGTCAATTTTTACACCAAGAAGTTTTTCACTCTTGTTCAATACATTCCTGATCTAATATTAGGCTTAGAGCATCATCTATTCTGCTGACTGATGTCTATTCCACTTTCTTGTAAAGTGGAATGACATTTTGGCAGTTTTTGCAAGCCATACCTTATCTAACTAACATCACAGTCTTTACAATAAATCAAGCAAATCTGATAAAAATTGCACAAAAAAACCTCCTTTCCCGTCGACAATGTGTTCGGTGACAATTTTAATGGATAATTAGGATAATGAGGTTAAGTGGCATAGTGTATAGCGCACTTGTTGCCTTTTACCAAGACGGCCATGGTGTGATTCCGACTGAATGTGAAAAGGTATGGGGTCACCTGCTCAACCGTGTGGGTTTGTCTCTAGGTACTCTGGTTTCCTCCTACTTTAAGATCCTCTGCATGGTTCCAAATAGACCAGTTGCAACAAGATTGATTAATATATATTGATAAAAAAATACAATTGTTATAAAACAAATAAAGTATAGATTATTATTATTATAAGTTGAAGAGAAAAATGATGATACAACAAGTATTTTTTTCAGTAATAAAGAGTATTCTAAATGGAGTATCTGTGGTTTCTTAGGAAAGGCTGAATAAATAAAGTAAAATGAGAGACTTGGCTTGTAAAAATTCAAATTTGGATTGAATTGAGAGATGAACAAAGGACGGTAATTTTTTTGTCTTGTATATCCAGGTAATGGTCCGACACTGAACAAAATTGACACTGCCTTGTTTGCCTTGTGTTTGGATGACAAGAACTCTGACGATCCCAACGATATCACAAGACAGTTCCTACACGGCGACGGCATCAACAGGTAATAGGACACAAGTTTTACTGGCGACGGCATCAACAGATAATAGTACACACGTTTTACTGGTGACGGCATCAACAGATAATAGTACACAAGTTTTACTGGTGACGGCATCAACATGTAATAGTACACAAGTTTTACCGGTGACAGCATCAACAGGTAATAGGACACAAGTTTTACTGGTGACGGCAGCAACATGTAATAGGACACAAGTTTTACCGGTGACGGCATCAACAGGTAATAGGACACAAGTTTTACTGGTGACGGCAGCAACATGTAATAGGACACAAGTTTTACCGGTGACGGCATCAACAGGTAATAGGACACAAGTTTTACTGGTGACGGCATCAACATGTAATAGGACACAAGTTTTACCGGTGACAGCATCAACAGGTAATAGGACACAAGTTTTACTGGTGACGGCATCAACAGATAATAGTACACAAGTTTTACTGGCGACATCATCAACAGGTAATGAGGAATAAGTTTTACTGGAGACTACATCAACAGGTAATAGGACACAAGTTTTACTGGTGACGGCATCAACAGGTAATGAGAAACAAGTTTTACTGGTGACGGCATCAACAGGTAATAGGACACAAGTTTTACTGGCGACAGCATCAACAGGTAATGAGGAACAAGTTTTACTGGAGACGGCATCAACAGGTAATAGAACACAAAGTTTTAATGGAGACGGCATCAACAGGTAATAGGATACTATAAGTTTTACTGGAGATTGCATCAAAGGTTATAGGATACTATAAGTTTTACTGGAGACTACATCAACAGGTAATAGGAAACAAAGTTTTACTGGAGACGGCATCAACAGGTAATAGGACACAAAGTTTTACTGGAGACGGCATCAACAGGTAATAGGATACTATAAGTTTTACTGGAGATTGCATCAAAGATTATAGGATACTATAAGTTTTACTGGAGACTACATCAACAGGTAATAGGACACAAAGTTTTACTGGTGACGGCATCAAAAGGTTATAGGACAAAAAGGTTTACTGGAGAGAACATGGATAGTTGTAATAGGACACAGGTTTTACTGGAGAGAACATGGATAGTTGTAATAAGACACAAGTTTTACTGGAGAGAACATGGATAGTTGTAAAAGGACACAGGTTTTACTTGAGAGAACATGGATAGTTGTAATAAGACACAGGTTTTACTGGAGAGAACATGGATAGTTGTAATAGGACACAAGTTTTACTGGGGAGAACATGGATAGTTGTAATGAGACACAAGTTTTACTGGAGAGAACATGGATGGTTGTAATAAGACACAAGTTTTACTGGAGAGCACATGGATAGTTGTAATAAGACACAAGTTTTTCTGGAGAGAACATGGATAGTTGTAATAAGACCCAAGTTTTACTGGAGAGAACATGGATAGTTGCAATAAGACACAAGTTTTACTGGAGAGAACATCGATAGTTGTAATAAGACACAAGTTTTACTAGGGAGAACATGGATAGTTGTAATAAGACACAAGGTTTACTGGAGAGAACATGGATAGTTGTAATAAGACGCAAGTTTTACTGGAGAGAACATGGATAGTTGTGATAAGACACAAGTTTTACTGGAGAGAACATGGGTAGTTGTAATAAGACACAAGTTTTACTGGAGATAACATGGATAGTTGTAATAAGACTCAAGTTTTACTGGAGAGAACATGAATAGTTGTAATAAGACACAAGTTTTACTGGGGAGAACATGGATAGTTGTAATAAGAAACAAGTTTTACTGGAGAGAACATGGATAGTTGCAATAAGACACAAGTTTTACTGGAGAGAACATGAATAGTTGTAATAAGACACAAGTTTTACTGGGGAGATTATGGATAGTTGTAATAAGACACAAGTTTTACCGGAGAGAACATGGACAGTTGTAATAAGACACAAGTTTTACTGGAGATAACATGGATAGTTGTAATAAGACTCAAGTTTTACTGGAGAGAACATGAATAGTTGTAATAAGACACAAGTTTTACTGGGGAGAACATGGATAGTTGTAATGAGACACAAGTTTTACTGGAGAGAACATGGATGGTTGTAATAAGACACAAGTTTTACTGGAGAGCACATGGATAGTTGTAATAAGACACAAGTTTTACCGGAGAGAACATGGACAGTTGTAATAAGACACAAGTTTTACTGGAGATAACATGGATAGTTGTAATAAGACACAAGTTTTAGTGGCGAGAACATGGATAGTTGTAATAAGACACAAGTTTTAGTGGAGAGAATATGGATAGTTGTAATAAGACACAGGTTTTACTGGGGATAACATGGATAGTTGTAATAAGACACAAGTTTGACTGGAGAGAACATGTATAGTTGTAATAAGACCCAAGTTTTACTGGAGAGAACATGGATAGTTGTGATAAGACACAAGTTTTACTGGAGAGAACATGTATAGTTGTAATAAGACCCAAGTTTTACTGGAGAGAACATGGATAGTTGAAATAAGACACAAGAATTACTGGGGAGAACATGAATAGTTGTAATAAGACACAAGTTTTACTGGAGAGGAACATGGATAGTTGTAATAAGACACAAGTTTGACTGGAGAGAACATGGATAGTTGTAATAGGACACAGGTTTTACTGGAGAGAACATGGATAGCTGTAATAAGACACAGGTTTTACTGGAGAGAACATGGATAGCTGTAATAAGACACAGGTTTTACTGGAGAGAACATGGATAGCTGTAATAAGACACAAGTTTTACTGGAGAGAACCTGGATAGTTGTAATAAGACACAAGTTTTACTAGGGAGAACATGGATAGTTGTAATAAGACACAAGATTTAGTGGAGAGAACATGGATAGTTGTAATAAGACATAAGTTTTACTGGAGAGAACATGGATAGTTGTAATGAGACACAAGTTTTACTGGAGAGAACATGGATGGTTGTAATAAGACACAAGTTTTACTGGAGAGGAACATGGATTGTTGTAATAAGACATAAGTTTTACTGGAGAGAACATGGATAGTTGTGATAAGACACAAGTTTTACTGGAGAGAACATGAATAGTTGTAATAAGACACACGTTTTACTGGGGAGAACATGGCTAGTTGTAATAAGACACAAGTTTTACTGGAGAGCACATGGATAGTTGTAATAAGACACAAGTTTTACTAGGGAGAACATGGATAGTTGTAATAGGACACAAGTTTTACTGGGGAGAACATGCATAGTTGTAATAGGACACAAGTTTTACTGGAGAGAACATGGATAGCTGTAATAAGACACAAGTTTTACTGGAGAGAACGTGGATAGTTGTAATAAGACACAAGTTTTACTGGGGAGAACATGGATAGTTGTAATAAGAAACAAGTTTTACTGGAGAGAACATGGATAGTTATAATAAGACACAAGTTTTACTGGAGAGAACATGGATGGTTGTAATAAGACACAAGTTTTACTGGAGAGCACATGGATAGTTGTAATAAGACACAAGTTTTTCTGGAGAGAACATGGATAGTTGTAATAAGACCCAAGTTTTACTGGAGAGAACATGGATAGTTGGAATAAGACACAAGCTTTACTGGAGAGAACATGGATAGTTGTAATAAGACGCAGGTTTTACTGGAGAGAACATGGATAGTTGTAATAGGACAAAGGTTTTACTGGAGAGAACATGGATAGTTGTAATAGGACACAAGTTTTACTGGGGAGAACATGCATAGTTGTAATAGGACACAAGTTTTACTGGAGAGAACATGGATAGCTGTAATAAGACACAAGTTTTACTGGAGAGAACCTGGATAGTTGTAATAAGACACACGTTTTACTGGGGAGAACATGGATACTAACATGGACACTTCTACTAACTTGTGTACTTACTTATTTTTGATTGAAATGCATTGAAATTGATACACTTGAAAAAATTTGATATTGCAAGCAACTGTCATTATGCTTACAATTGTGCATCACCAGGTCCTGATCGTCTCTCACTGATGGGGAAAAATATTCCCTTTAGCTTGTTTAACACATCACCAGTTCTATTTCATTCATTGTACTCTAAACATATGACCTGCAGGTGGACCAGAGTTAATGTTGATGATTTATATATCATTGGACGCTGACCTTGGCAAAGATTGTCAAATCCTGCAATAACATTCACAGGTCTCTATGGTTTACACATGCACAGTTTAATGCTCCTAAAATACATACAGACAAACATTGTCCAAAGCAAGAGTTGTTATTATGTTACTACACGAATGCCTTGCACAAATTACTATATCGCATGTATTACAAATTGTAATTTTGAAAAGTGTTGAGCTCTTGGTTAGAAATTTTGGAGGTGTTTTGTGTTTGTTGTTGATAAGACTGGTCAGTATGTCTGGATGGTGTTTAGCCTGTTTGTTGTTGATAAGACTAGTCAGTATGTCTGGATGGTGTTAAGCCTGTTTGTTGTTGATAAGACTGGTCAATATGTCTGGATGTTGTTAAGCCTGTTTGTTGTTGATAAGACTGGTCAGTATGTCTGGATGGTGTTTAGCCTGTTTGTTGTTGATAAGACTGGTCAGTATGTCTGGATGGTGTTTAGCCTGTTTGCAGTGAATAGTGCAGATGGTCCTCTTTTCTGACTTCTCTACATTTGTTTAATTTCATCTGGCTAATGTTTTACAGATTTTCTGATCAGAACTAGTTCATGGGTATTGAATTTCCCACAAGATGACCTGGTAAAAATATCAGGCTAAGGAGGGTGCTTGTGTGTTTGGATGATGAGATATATTATACAAAAGTTTTGAGAAAATAAAGTAAAATATGACACTGAATTGTTTTTTTTATCTTCATTACTCAGTAGTAAACGGATAAACAGATTTGTTTTTTCCAGGGAATTGTAATTCATGGTATTGATAGTCCCTGGGTATTTAATTTTGTACTATCACTGGTGACCGCGAATATAGCAAAGTTAAATCCTACACCAATATATTACCCAGTATACAGTATACATTGTAAAGATGAGTCTTTGAATCAGTATATGTGAATAATTTTAATTACACATTATTATTATTCACTTAGGTGGTATGACAAAAGCTTCAGTCTCATCATGACGCCGGACTCCAAGGCGTGTGTAAACTTTGAGCATGCATGGGGAGACGGTGTGGCTGTGCTGCGATACTTTAACGAGGTGTTCAAAGATTCCACTGAGATGCCGTTCGTACATCCCTCGACTACAATCCCGAAAGCTAACTCTGATAGAGCTGTTCAGAGACTAGGTAAGAACTCATTGGTGTCCTCAGCACTAGGTCTCTGTGTACAATTGTATGTTTCTGCAATACCTTATACATCGGAAGGCATGGTAGTCTAGTGGCGAGGTGTTCGGCTCGTGACCGAAGAGTCGGGGGTTCGAGTCCAGTAATGACACTGTGTTGGCAGTGCTGGAATTGTTGAATGCTAGCTGTGAGCGCTTAAATGGCAGCACCATCTGTATGCTCCCCAGGGAATTGAGAAATATATTGGCTGGTTGCAAAGGCCCTATAACCATGGATAATAATTTGTGAAGCGCTTTTAGATGCCCTAGGTTGTGAATTATGTCTCCCCTTCTAATGAAGGGAGACATATTGTATTAGTGCTTGTTCTTCTTCCGGTTCTCTTCTTCTAACTCTTCTTCTTCTTCTAGCCGCAACTTGTCCAGGCCATAACTTTTAAACTGTTAAAGATATCTTGATAAAACTTATAGTATACCTGCAACACCCACAGAAGGTGTACAGTGCACTAAAATTAGGTCTCGTGCTTCACTATATACAGAGTTATGGCCCTTAGTTTAATTTTAATATCGAAGTTTGTCTTGAGCATTAGTTTCATGTTATTTCACCTACGTTGACCAAACTTACCATATTTATGTATCTTGGGAAGGTGGAATCTCTCACACTAAAATAAGGTTTTTATCCCACTATATACACAGTTATGGCCCTTTGTTTATTTTTAATACCAAAGTTTGTCCATAACTTCCATTTATTTCGCCTATGTTGACCAAACTTGCTATTGTTATAATGTATCTGGGGAAGTAGGAGTGTCGCATTCTAAATTCGAGCCTTGTGCCCCAATTTATAAAGAGATATGGCCCTTTGTTAATTTTTTATACCAAAGTTTGTCTATTGGCTAATAAGGGGAGACATATGAATTTGTTCACAAAAACAAAATTCTAGTTATTTTTATTATTATAAACTGGTATGCACTCTCTTAACTGAACACACAAGGGACTGTTTAAGTGTGCAGGATTGTAGAGTTCTGGATTGTGAAGAGCATACTTGTAACACTTTGTCATTGTCTGAACCAAATTTTTGGGCAAGTTTAGACAAATTCTGAATTTATATTTTTCAGTCCAGAAATAGAAACCCTAACACAAAATGTTAATACTGTCTTCCCTGTTCAATGAGTTTTCTTCCATAATTTGAAAATATGTGCACAAAATATCTTTTATGATGAATTGGTGATTCTTTTTTTTATGTTCATATATACATGTTATTTTGGAAATTGTTAACTTTAATTTATGTGTAGAGAAAATACCATTGATTGCTTGTAAAAATGTCAATATATTTACAATCAATGGGGTATTGGTTATACCGGTAACGTTTTTGCTGAGACGATCACAACAAAACATCATATGAATGTTTAGTGAAATGGCTAGAAAATTCATTACATTTTTGCCAGTGAAATATCGGATTCTATCAACTTGATAAAACTGGTATCTTTCAAACTGTGACAAATATCAATAGGTATCTTCTATTCGTTGCATTCAAAGGAAACATTTTTTTTGTTCAGATTCAAATGAAGCGACGGTAGAATAAGTGGTTGTTATGGTAAATGTTTGGTACAGGCACTTAAGTATTTACTTGAACATACAATTAATAACATTTTCATAAGCAATCACACCAGATAATAGCAGAAAACGTCAGAATTGCATTAAGTATGCCATTCAAAATGGCGCACAGCCTTGTTGTTAAGCGTGACGTCATTAGAATATGGCGTTAATTATTACGCCTCTGATTCCCCCCTTTTTTAATGCATTACATTTTTCATGTTTTATGCTTTTAAAATGTAATAAATAGAAAATTTAATGGTGTCTTAAGTAGTAACAAATATATTTCACTTATGTTTTGATACGTTTCACTCATGCTGCGCACTCGTAAAAAATATCAAAATATTAGCCACACTCGTGAAATATATTTGTTATCACTGAAGACAACATTAAATATTATATCTTCCTGTGTTTCAGAGTTTGAGCTGGACACATCACTTAAAGAAGGTATCCAGAGTGCCAAGGTCAATTTTGATAATATGACCGGATCGCTTGACTTACACCACCTGGAATATGACACTTTCACCAAGGATTTTGTCAAGTCGAAGAAGCTTAGCCCTGATTCTATCATGCAGCTTGCCATACAGGTAAACTGTTGCTTTAGTTGGTATTTACTTACATACTGAAAACCTTGTTAACGTTTGCCAATTACTAAGAAACCTGACATTAAAACTACTTTTATTTTACCTACACTTGTGTATAAAGACCACCTCTGTGTAAAGACCAACTGTCTGTAAATACCACCAGCACATAACTACCGTGTCAAGAATACTTGAGCAATGTTTTTAGCTCGCCTGGTCCAAGGACCATGCTGAACTTATGCAATACTGCAGCGTCCGTCGTCCGTCCTTCCATTATTTTTTCTTTTAAACGCTACTAGTCCTCAACTGATTTTGACTAAATTTGGTCTGGAGCATCCTTGGGCCAAGGGCACTCAATTTTGTATAAACGGTGGGTGTGGCCCCCCTGGAGTGGGGCCCAATAGGGGAAATAGAGATAAAACTTTTAAAATCCTTCTTCTACTGTAGGGATAAAGGGATTTTATCCTAATTCACTCTGTAGCATCTTTTGGCCAAGGGCATTCAATTTTGTATAAACGGTTGGTGTGATCCCCTGGGGGCAGAGGGGTGAGGCAGAATAGGAGAAATAGAGGTAAACCTGTAAAATCCTTATTCTACCATAGGGATGAAGGGATTTCATCCCCAATTTGGTCTGGAGCATCCTTTGGCCAAGGGCACTCAATTTTGTAAAAGAAAACATGTATGTGCCCCTCCCCACCTTGGGGGCAGAGGAGTGGGGCCCAATAAGGGAAATAGAAGAAAAACTTTTTTCTCTTATTGTAGGGATAAAGGGATTTTATCCAAATTTGGCCTCGAGCATCCTTCAGCAAAGGGGACTCAATTTTATATAACTGGTTGGCATGGCCCCTCTTGGTGTTGAGTTACAGGGCCCAAAAGGAGAATTTGAGGTTTAAGTCTTCAAAATCCTTCTCCCTCTGTACCATTGGAGAGATTTCATCCAAATTTGGCCTGGAGCATCCTTGGGCAAAGGGGACTAATTTTTTTTTTAAACGGAGGGTGTGGCCCCTTTGGATGCAGAGTTAGGGGAATTTGAGGTTTGAGTCTTTAAAATCCTTCTTCTTCTTCAGTACCATTGGAGGGATTTTTTGTAATAAGTATAATTTCCCATGGTTGCTTTATTATCCAGGTTAGTGATACAGGCCCTCTGGGCCTCTTGTTCAAATTACCAGTCTTTAAAAAACATCTGTATGTTAGAACTGTATTGCTCTATCCCTTAGGGTGACCTTTATAGACAGATTTCATTGTGTATGCTTACATGAGGATTTTATTCACAGTATAATAATAGAGCCCCTGACTTTTGTTTAGATGGCATATTACCGACAGTACAGGAAGTTTGTCGCCACATACGAGTCCTGCAGTACAGCCGCCTACAAACATGGTCGCACAGAGACACTGCGGTCCGCAACCATGCATACCAAGGAGGCTACAGAGATGATTGTGGATCGAGGCAACAAAGAGAGCCCAGTGAACCTCTACAAAGCTATGATTCAGTGTTCACGGACACATGGGGACCTCACAAAGAAGGCAGCCATGGGTAAACCATACCCGTCATTTTCATCTGTTATTAAGCCACATTCATATTAATTCATTTTATCTTTCTAGTTTTAAGGAAAAAATGGCATAAAAACCCCTCTGACATGGAAACATTTTGCTTGCTCTCTATTGTTCAGTCAAATTTCATGATATTTAGATAAAGACATATTTCTATGATCAATCAACACAAGTTGTGTTGTGAGGTAATTGTTAGCTTTCCTGGTTTGAAGGACTAGTGAATTTATGCCATGGGGCAACATCCCTCGTCCGTCAACATTCTCTTTTAAAACTGTACTCCTGAACAACAGATCAAATTTGCTATACTACATCCTTGGGACAGAGAATTAAACTATATACATGCAAAAACAAAATTGAATCCTTATTGCATCTCAGAGTCATATGGCTCTCAGCTAGTAAACAATTTGAAATTACAGACATAGGGGTGTGGATTTCAGCCTTCAAAAGGCAACATATACCTTTCTTAAGAGCCTGCTGGATTTTAACCAAATTAAGCATTTAACATCAGTAGGACATTTAAAGGCAAGCAAATATTTTATAAAGGAAGGCTGCTTAGTGGATTAGGGCAAGCCAACAGAGTGTAAAAGTTAGGCCCAGCAGGGACTTAGCCAAGCCCATGTGACATGTTCTCAGCTTATATTTCTTGCATCTTTAGAGAAAAGTGTACCGTATGCAACAAGTTTTGAATTGAAAATAACATTACAAGTGCACTTTTAAGGTCCCTGGGACACTTGGTCTGAGACCCCGAAGCTATTTTTTCCAATCTAGATCACCTTACCACCGATACATAACGGTAGAATCTAGAATACCTTACCACCCATACATAATGGTAGAATCTAGATTACCTTACCACCCATACATAACGGTAGAATCTAGATTACCTTACCACCCATACATAATGGTAGAATCTAGAATATCTTACCACCCATACATAACAGTAGAATCTAGATTACCTTACCACCCATACATAATGGTAGAATCTAGATTACCTTACCACCCATACATAATGGTAGAATCTAGATTACTTTACCACCAATACATAATGGTAGAATCTAGATTACCTTACCACCCATACATAACGGTACCTTACCACCCATACATAATGGTAGAATCTAGATTACTTTACCACCAATACATAATGGTAGAATCTAGATTACCTTACCACCCATGCATAACGGTAGAATCTGGATTACCTTACCACCCATACATAACGGTAGAAACTGGATTACCTTACCACCCATACATAACGGTAGAATCTAGATTACCTTACCACCCATACATAACGGTAGAATCTGGATTACCTTACCACCCATACATAACGGTAGAATCAAGATTACCTTACCACCCATACATAACGGTAGAATCTGTAAAACCCTGCCACTACCATCTGCATGTATCTTTAGAAATTAATCTACCTACCAACAAGTATGACAAATCGAGATTTCCTGTACCATTTATATATTGCTGAGAAGTCTTGATTACTCTGAAAATTTAGATTGCCCTCCCACATCAGATTCAAAATTTGAGCCCCAAGATCACTCATGCTTTTCTGATACCAATGTATTCTTGTGCAATCGATTGTAAATGATTTTGACTGTAATTTATTGTCTTGTTTCTTCAGGACAGGGATTCGATCGTCATCTGTTTGCACTACGAACACTGGCTGAAGCAGAAAATTATTTTCCCCATAAGATTTTTAAGGACCCTGCCTACACGAATATGAACCACATCATCCTGTCTACTTCTACCCTCAGTAGTCCAGCAGTGGTTATCGGAGGATTTGCCCCTGTCACTCCTGATGGATACGGAATCGGTATGTGTGATCTGCTTTTTGTAACATGTCTACACCTGATTGCATGAGTCGTTTTCAAGATTACCCCAAAAATATGATTTTGTATAAACAAAACTTTACAAGTTCTTTAGTTGCACATTTCAGTTTGAGAATTTGTTTGAGGAAGTAGCATCCTCTGTCAGACTTTTTACAGATAGTCACTGTAGTTGTTGACATCACTGTAAATCATAACCTTCACCAAACATATATTTTTCTGGCGGTTTGTGAATTCAAACATCTCAGGAACATGGTTGTAGTAAGACAAAAACAATGAACAAATAGTGGCTGTTATTCCTTTCAAGAATTCAAATCCTCGTAAATATGTTGTTAGAACAATCAATAAATAAGAATTTGTGAAAAATTCAGTCATTTGATACATTCTTTGTCGCTATGATATTCATTATTATGTGGCCTGCTTGCAGATTTGAGTTTTGATAGCTGATGTTACAATCTTGCTGCTGTGGTAAAATAGTCCAATGAGCAATGCACGGGGTTATCTGACCTAAGTAGTGTAGTGTTACTAAATAGGAGATGTGGGAGAGATTTTGGGAGAGTAATCTGATTTTACCTATTAAACATTTTAAATTAAACCTTTTCTGACTCAAAAAATATATATTACAGGTTATTCCATAGAGAGCAACAGAATTGGCTTCAATGTCACCAGCTACCCTCCGGCAACAAATGTACGAGAATTTATTGACTGTCTTCGTGCAAGTCTGGACGACTTGTTTGATATCATGAATTATAGTAGTCCAAGGAATTCCTAATCAACATGACTTTATTAAAGTAGGCCATATAGATCTCCTCAAGCTCCTGTTGAATATTCATGAATGCATGTGAACATGGTTATTTCCATGGATGTCCTGTTGAATATTCATGACCATGTGTGGATAGATGATGAAAGTGAATTATATTCTTTGAATTCTTGTCAAAATTTCAATTTGAATCAATATGTGTATTTGTGTATTTCCCAACAACTATGGAGAAGATTTTTTAATGTATGCTATAATTGGTGTTTAGATACTTACTACATGAATTATATTACATTGTAATTTGATTTTTTTTCGATAGAAGAAAATTAAACAGTCTACTCAGAAAGTGCTCTTGATGAAATAAATTTGATGGAAGAAACAAAATAAGAGTTATTATTGGACAAGTTGTTTGGATGGGAAATGTAAGTCGTTTTGAAAGTGGAATTGAAATGACATGTAACAAGCTGAACAAAAGGAGTTTCTGTGTTAAATGTGTTGTTTTTACATGTATAAATGACATTTCACAATTTTTTTTTTTAGATTGATAATTTAGATTTTTCCAGTTCTGTCAGACAGATCAGATCTACAGATTTATGTATGGTAGATTTTAAATTTCATATAAGCATTTCGCAGTGACAATTTGTATTTCAATATAACAGTATATGATATCATATATGGTATCTTTTTTTCAAAATAAATTTCTATCATATCGATACTGTACTTTTCCAGTAAAGGGATGTCATCTGTGAAATCACAATTTTGGTAATTTATTTTTATCAGATTTGATTGTACTACCGGAAGATAATTTAAGAGAAAAATATAACCAGATATAAACTTCTACCTTTTTTTGATGTGTGAATGTGTTAACTTTGTTTATATGTTTCATGAAAGTTTGCATTGAAATTCCATCCTTCCATGGCTATAATGCTTTATTTATTTTCTTTTTTGTCGAGCATAAAATGTTTAATACAGTCGTTAATGTATTGTGAAGACATATGTCACTTGAACTTCAATATGAATTGGGTCAAAGGCCATGCCTGCACTCCCTACCACCCAATACCATTGTTTTAAAAGCTTCTGTTTTTCACAAAATTTCACAGAAATAATTTGTTGTAACTTAATTTTCTTTGCAATGGATGTTTAAAACGGACAAAAAATATAGGATACTTGTCCAAACATACCTGGTATATTCATTCCAAGTTTATTTTTCTATCATTTTCCATGTACGATAATCTTTTGTGTCCATGCCAGTTTTATTTATCAGGTTTTGTGTATGTAATGTGTAAAGTTTCTAACAATTTCAGAATGAGAAGCTGACTTTAAAAAAAAAAAAAAAACTATTCAAAAGGATATATATATCACTTAAGTTATGGTGTAGCCTTATAAATAGAGAAAGCCTTTTCTTCTGTTTATGTATGAGGATGAAGCAACTCAGTACTAGAATATATTATTGAAACTGTGATATGTCTTTAATATTTTTGCTTTTTAAGGGAAGAATGTTTTGAATAGTTTGTTGGGAAAATATTGTTTTTCTCTGAATAAAACTTTAATAGAAACAAAATGGGTTTTCAATATGACTATTTATATGTTTGAAATATACCTGTAATGGGCAAATTGTTATACAGATGATTTTGTGCAAGGAATAAAACACTCTTTATTGGTGTACTTTTATTTCTTATATTTGTTTGTGAGTATCAGGGTTTAGGAAATGAGAAGCAAACATTATACAAAGTTAAAGTGGAATCCTTCGTCGCATCCTATGGCAATTCTAGTAAAACATCTACTGTACGCACGGACACTTGTGCCCTGTCAAGCTTTCGCCATCCACTGGTAAAATCCAATTTTACCCAGTGTTAATTTTGCCCTTCACACACAATCACTATATACATATGCTGTAGTGCAAAGATGGAGAAATTTAAACTGCAGCCAAAATTTCCAGTTGAAAACTATGCCAGGATTCCCTGTTAGGAATACTATTACCCAAAGAATTTAATTAGTACCTTGCATTGAATGAATTGCCAGAATCCAACCACAGATAGAAGTGATTTTTTTTTGGAGTCCAGGGTTCAGGGAGATATTTTTCTGGAATAGCCCTCAGCAATGTTTTATGAAGTTGGTTCAGTCTATTAAATATAAGAATGAAATGTTACTCAATTGAAGTGACAACATAAACCAGAAATACTCATGAACACCTCATTGTATTGAATTGGTAACATGTGGTAGCTCTTCAAATTTGGAATTGAAAAATGAAGGAAAAAAAGTCTAGCATTATCGGTAAAAACATATTCCAGAAGTATTTGAAAGTTTTACTGCAAAGCAATATAACTTGAGAATGTTTATGTATTTTACTTTTTCAAAATTTGATTTTCAAAACATTTCATCCTCAATTTCATTTTAAAAACTTGTTTCAAATTTACTACAAATGTTTGTTTTGTTACTCAAAGTAACTAATGATAGAAATAGGTTTTGACCTCGGCCGTTTTTGTTTATCTCGGTCCAATCAGTTGAACCGATTGGACCAGAGTTGTTCGTTTGTGAAATAAGGTCGGACCTAGTTTTTTGGTGCTGCTTTTAGGCAAGCCTTGACAAAGCCTTACAAGGCCTGCATAAACATTTGCAGGTCTGCTTATATTAATACCCAAAATGTTACATTTAAAAACAGACTAACCGTTTGTTCCACATAAACGAACAGGCCCCTGTTGGCAGTTTCATCCAATGTGGCCTCCATGGATTCTTATTAACCATTTGATAATACAAATGTAGAAACTTTTTGGGTCGAAATTGGTTCAATTTTTTTAGAAGAAACATTCCACCTATGACCCAATTATATTGCTAACTATATTTAAATGTTATGAAATTCTGTCCTGTGATTTGATTAGCTTTGCTCTGTATGAAAGACTTTGGCAACAGTCTGTAACACTTACAGGATACTCTCAGTTTTGACTATTATTTATCGTCAAATCACTAACGTTATGTCAAATATGATATAACAGGCTTTTAAATGACCAACAATAAATTTTGATTCTCAGCTTCCTATATTGTCAGTCAATAAGCATTACATTTTTGGGATTTTTAGCTTCCCTCATGTGAGTTATAGCTATCGCCTTTTATCGATTGTCTATTGGCATCGTTAAAATTTCACTACTTTTGTTTTTTATTTCTCATTAAGAACATAAAGACCTAGAGTCTGGATATTATAGTAGCTTGCCAGAGTGGAAGGCTACTTATTGTTTTCAAATGAAATATCAATATTATTTAAAGTCCTCAACAAAGATCTGCAGATCATCTACATGATATTAGGGCTTTAACTTACAGGGTTGAAGAACTATTAAGTTTGTTAAAATAAATGACCTTGACTTACTTTGAAGATAACAGATAAAAGTGTAAAAATCCTGAAGTAACTCCTTAAAAGAATAATTCTTATCAAATTTGAATTTTCTGGAATAAATGGCAATCAAGTTTGTTTGAATAAAAGATTTTAACGAAGTTGCCAAAGCTATAGAGTACTGATTAGTGTAAACTTGACTTCTATAAAGTTTATTTAAGTAAATATCCCTGGACAATTTAGAAGGTCACGTATTTAAGATGTGTTTGCCTTAATTTCATAAGTCCAAGTCAGACAAATCTTATAATATTAAGATTACTCAAAACATAATTCTACATAATTGACAATCTTGAAAGTGGAAAACCAAACAACTGATTGATACATAGTCAAAACCTGGTATATAACATCTTACATATTCCTAGAGAGAATTTGAATATTTGAATTGATTGAAATAATAAACCGATCAACACCCCACCCTATCCTCAAACATGAATTAAATTAATAAAAAAAATGGACTTTAGCAAGGCTACTAGCTTTCTTGTCGCTCTAACACTTAAAGGAAAAGACCAATGAATTAAAAAACATTTGTAAACACTAGCAAATGTTCCGATCCAGATAGATAAATTAATGAGAAAACGTTGAATAGGATACTGAATTAAAAATAAGTATTGTCTACTTTCACTTTTACTTTCAAAATTTCATTCGAATAGTCCATTAACCGAAAATTGTAAGCTTCACATTCAAAATTTCATTCGAATAGTCCATTATCCGAAAATTGTAAGCTTCACATGTTCGTTTGCGCCATGTTTCGATTTATATCTCCAATGGATATACGAATGCAGAAAATGCGAAATAAATATTGAATAATACATCTTCAAAGTGAATGTAAATCTACTTTCATTTTTGAAGTTGATCACAGTTATCTCCCCTGTATAAAGAACATTTAAACCGGAAGTTGTTGGTTTAATGTTGACATGCGATCTATCGAGCCCGTTACGTTAGGCATTTGTAATGTAAACAGTCAATTTAGGTCATGAGTTCAGCTGATAACGACGATATAGACTCTGAGGACTTCGAGATGTCAACCAGTATAGAAACGTCGCTTCTACTGAACAGTGCGTCAGGTATGGACGAACGAAACGTCAAGTACACACCGAGTGAGGATAATGTGGCAGTCAATGGAACGTCAACTAACTCTGATGGCGACATATCTGAGGAGGCGAAGACGTCAGGATTTCTCTATGTCCTGTCATTCTTTGCCGCTATTGGTGGCTTTCTATTCGGGTATGATACCGGTGTGGTTTCAGGTGCGATGCTGCTGCTGAAAAAACAATTCAACTTGACATCTTTATGGGAAGAAATCATTGTCAGTGCCACTATTTTGTTTGCTGCCATTTTTGCATTAGTTGGTGGGTTTCTAAACGACTATTTTGGGAGGAAGTTTACAACTGTATGTGCCAGTTTTGTATTCACGGGAGGAGCAGTTCTCTTAGGATTTGCACAAAACATTGCTATGCTGGTCATTGGAAGGTCAATACTCGGAATAGGAATAGGTAAGCTTTATTATACTGTACTTTGTATGATGTAGAGCGGTTACGGGTTGTTTCGCCCTAAATCCTGTTCGCCCTGGGTTGTTACGCCCCCTATTTTTTTTAAATTGATACGCTAATATAATAATTAATATTTAAATACATCAACTAAACTTATTGATAACTTTCTATAATGTTATTTATTTTATGTAGAAAAATACACAACGGTGCGAGTTCGGAGTCAGCTTTTCACAGCTGCCGTTTGTCACACTTGCTTAAAAACAACACAGACACATTTCTTTTTATAAAATTTATTTTTATTTAATTTGTGACTTAAAACTACTAAAATTGAAAGAAAATACCAAACAATGTTTCAGTTTTAGTTTTAGGGTGAAACAACCTAGCGCAAAACAACCTAAAACCATGTATGGCATTTACATGCGTTTAAGTTTGCAAATAATATGTTAAATTTGTGATAAATTAATTTTGATGTTATATAATGAATTAATTGTTGTCATATGAATTTTAATGTTGTGTCGGGGTAAAGAAAATTAATTATTTTTATACTCAAATACCCAAGTCAATTTCATGGAAAAGGGCATATACAATTACATTTTTGACTGCAATTGCTAGTAGAATCTTATACTCACAATTTTATAAAATGTCATCAAACAATTCAGTGTCATCACTCAAGCAACTCCATTTTTGAACAGATTTTGAAGTCTTTTGTAGATCTAGAGTTGTGATATAATAAAACGTTCCGCTTGACTGATTATGTATTAAATTATCGCAGCAATCAGAAAGTTGCATGTAACAAGAACTTCAAAGTTAAATCAAATTTATGCATTAAACACAATAAGAAACGAAAATAAAAATTCCAGATACATCAGTGATATATACGCTTTAATTTGATACACCGCTGTCTGCTATGGACTATGAGTATTAAATTTCAAATTCCTAGATTCGCTGATCCATGTCACACTGCATGGTAGTTTACCCCCCTCCCCCACTTTACCCCCTTTGATTTCCATTTGGATATTACTGTATCACAGTTGGACCAGGACACTTCCATTGATGACGTGCTCAATTGATTAGAGTGATAGTATAACAATCTGAAGTCCAGTGTTTGAATCCAGGTCTAGCGCTGCTGATTTTTTCCCACTCAGAACACTGCTGTTGATCCTATTTTGTTGATTTCAGCTTTACTGTTTCTCATAAAAGTCCCGCAAGGTATAGTTTTCCTTTCAGAAATGATTTATCAAAGCTAGAGTTCATCTTCAATATCCAGGGGTTACACTCACTTTCACTCTGCACTCCTGGAGTATGTCATAGCAGAATTGAAGGCTAAGTGTGCACCACCTTGTGGATGAGATGACATATACCACTGGTATATATAGACTTAAGGATTATTAAGGACCCCTATACCACTGGTATAGACTTAAGGATTATTAAAGACCCCTATACCACTGGTATAGACTTAAGGATTATTAAGGACCCCTATACCACTGCCAAAATGTGCAACCTCATTAATGCATTGGAAATTTATTTTCCTGCATGAATATAACTTTGATAAATCATTTCTGAACAGAAAATCATACCTTTGTGGGACTTTTATGAAAATGATAAAGACCAAATAAAGAGTTAGTAATTCAGTTAATATAACTTGTCATGAAATTCTTATAAAAGAAACAAAATTTGCATTTAAATGAACAATTTATTATTAAAAGATATATGTCTTATGATTTTAGGTTGTCCCTTTTCAACTTTTTAGCCCACCATCCGTCGTCGGTCGTCGGTCTTCGGTCCTTAAACAGCTCTTGTTATTGCTATTCTCAGAAAGTACTGGAGGATCTTTCTCAAATTTGATATGAAGGTTCCCCTTTTAGAGGCTGATCGTTTAAACAAAATGGCTGCCAGGCGACCATCTTGAATTTTGACAGTGAAAGTTTGTTATCGCTATTGCTCATGAAGTTCTGGAGGGATCTTTCTCATATTTGATATGTAGGTTCCCCTTGGTCTGTTGTTGTGCATGTATAACTTTTGAGACTAATCGGATAAACAAAATGGCCGACAGACGGCCATCTTGGATTTGGACAGTTATGTTTCTTATCGCTATTTCCCAGGAAGTTCTTGAAGGATCTTTCTCAAATTTGATATGTTTTTTCTTCTTGGTCTGTAGTGGTACATGTTGACTTTGGAGAGTGATCATAAAAACAAGATGGCTACATGAAGTGCTAATGAGATCTTTCTGATATTGCAAGGATCTATTTCTCTTACACTTAAATGCACTGTTTGCATGACTTGATCAAACAGATAAGAGAAAAGAAGAGAAAAGATCAAACTGACATAAACTAATGAAGATGGTACAATGGTGGTTGCCAAGATCTTCTGAGATTTCTTTTTATTTAATATGGAGCCATGACCTCATAGATTTTAAGCAAATACATCCAACATGTGGTGTAAACATTTAATCATTTTTAACATGTTAAAAAAGATGTGTCCCGGTGTTTAAATAAACAGCCTCAGTCTAGGCCATACTTCAATGTATCAAGGTTAAAGTCAACGATTAGGATGAACCCAATATTTACATTGCGAGGATGGTGGGAAATGGTTCGTAGAAAGATTAAAGAAATAAGACACATGCTATTGTTGGTCTTATATGTCAGTGATGTTAACCCTCACTACTAAAATGTTTGTCACATATGTTTGTCTGTATCCTAGAAACCTAATAATGTCATATGTATACCCAGGGTCCCTTATATCAGCTGAAATGTGTATCTAACACAAGAAATGGTTTATTTATGACTGAGTGGCTGTATAGATTTGCATACTCCGTATCTGGGAAGCTAAGAATTTGTGCTATGTAGTAAAACTTTGTTGCCATGGGAACAATAAATGTATAGAATTCTTTTGTATTATCTTATGTTGAAAATAGGAACTTTTAACAAAATTGGTTTAGCCTACCATCACCAGATGGTGGTAGATCTGTTCAATTTGCCCTTTGTCCTTGATCCATCATCTTTCTGTCATTCATACATAAAAATTCTTGTCATTGCTATTTCTCCAGAAGTATAGAATCCAGAATCTTTCTCAAATTGTGTCTGCTGCTCTTGGTACTTTTTGTGCCTGTTTTACTTTTGAGAGTGTTTGGTGATCAAAAAATCAAGATGGCTGATACAAATTAAATGACATTGAAAATACAGAGATGTTTCAATAAAAGGCAACTTATAGCTACCTGGAACTGTTATACAGTCACTGTTGTAGGACTTAGGAGTACTCCAACTCTTACATAAAGAAGAATTAAAGGTGATATAGTTAGATTTTACTGAGTGATAATGAACATTTGTCGTAATCTTGATAAATGTTGAGTATTTGCAAGGTGATATAGCCACAATGGAGATATAAATATGTAACAATATTATGATAAGTCTAGTTTTCAAATTTGTTTATTTATCATTATAATTGGATTAGAATTTCAGTAAAATTTTGAATTTTTCAATTCACAAGCGTATTTTTCTCATGTGAGCTTTCTCCTCACATCAGCTTACTTCCACTCATGTGAGCTTTTGAACAGCTCATGTGCTATTTGTATGCAAACTTTAGTATGGTCTGCACTTTCCAGAGAGTCCAAAAGACTTATCTTTCTGAGATTTGACATTGTGATACAGTGCGATGTGCAGATGTGCAATAGGTGTTTACAAGTTTTAAAGGTCAAGGTCACTGTTACTAAAAATAGACCATGGGGGATACAGTTAGGCATATGACGAAGCCCTTGTTGACCTGTCTGTGTTCTTAAAAGTTACCTTAAAATGTCTTGTACATTTTAAACTACGAACAGTATTCATGATAACATTTTACTTACTGCTTGTACTTATGGTTTTTCTATCAAGATGTGTCATCAAAAATGGGAGGCAATACATACATACATGTGAAAAATTGATTAAAAATTTCATAGATGAGATATGAGAAAGCATTTTGGGGCTTCAAAACTATACATATGTGGAACAATATCCTTTCTGAGACCGTCATACGAGCAACAACAGTCCGACAGTGTATCATATTAAATCTTATTAAATAAATTTGACCTTGAACCAATATTAAAGCTGCAGATGTGAAGTATATTTGCAGATAGCATTGAATAATAGGTGTGCAATACAGGCCAATTGGGCCTTGGTGTCTTAGTTTTGCTGATGTAAAGAATCGCCAAATCTTGGAAAATATTGTACGTAGAAGTGCCTTTCAGAAGGCAAAAATGTGGAAAAATCACTGACTATAAAAAAATATTTTCTGTGGGTAATTAAAGACAATTGATATTTTTTCTTCTTTTTTTCTCTCTCAACTTTACAGGTTTAGCATCCATGACTGTACCAATTTATATCGCAGAATGTGCTCCTCCTCAAATGAGGGGAAGACTGGTGACTCTTAACAATTTATTTATTACTGGGGGACAGTTCATAGCCAGTGTGGTTGACGGAGGTTTCAGCTACGACAAGGTCAACGGCTGGAGGTAGGTGAAACCTAGTCAAACATTGCGGTCAAAACATATTCTGATTTTTTTTGCAGGGCTGGCTTCGATGACAGTACCAATGTATATAGCTGAATGCGCCCCAGTTCAGCTACGTGGGAGATTGGTCACTTTGAATGTTTTGTTTATAACCGGTGGACAATTTATTGCCAGTTTACTGGATGGAGCGTTAAGTTATGACAAAGTTAATGGATGGAGGTAATTTTATTTCAAATGTTGTGTGGCAATGTTGTGAGAAAATATTTAGAGGTATGTCATGCACTGCGCTTATCATTTTTTAGGTAGAAGTCTCGTTGTCAGCACAAGTAGATTTATTACTTAGCAAAAAGCAATATCACATCTTGATCACATTGATGTTTGCATTCAACAACACTATAAATGATAGTGTTTAAACATCTGGGTGATTAAGGTCAGGCTTACTTTTCACTTTATCATAACATTGTTTTTATTATTCTGCTTTTTGTTCTCATCTGCATGCATTAATACATTATTGAAGGCTTACATTACATCTATTATTTGTAATAAGAATTTGAATAACAGGTTTCCTCCCAAAGGAACCTTATGTTATCATTTTCATGGATGTGCAGCGGAACTGGACTGGGGAGATCGTCGGCTGACAAGTAGCTCAATTGGTATACATATAGAGTGTTTCTCTAAAGTTTGGAGGGTCCCTAAAAGGTCTTGTTCGAATCCGGTCTTGCTGTTTGATTTCTGTTTCTCCTTTTAAAAATGTTTGATCTTCTCAACCTGTGTTTCAAGCAGTCAGTGAGTGCTTATCAAGGGAATTTATGAACCTAAGTTGCAAAAGTTGCGTCTTTGGGGGAGAAGACCTAGTGAAAGGAGGGAGGAATGTAGCAGAACTGGACTGGGTTGATCATCGGCGACCATGTAGCTCAATTGGTAGAGCATCCGTCTAGAGTTCAGTCAGGGTCCAGGTTCGAATCCTAGTCTTTCCACTGCATTTCTCTTTCTCCTGTTACAGATGCATGTATGATGGTGCTTTCCGATGCTTATAGTTGCTCAATCCATTGATTGTGTTACGGTCGTTGTACAACTAAATGACAGCTAGCACGCCATTATCTATATATAGCCTTTTTCCATAAATATACAGCCTTTTATATTTTGTCTCACCTGGCTGCATTGAAGAAAAAATACAACACATGTTAAACCCACTGGTATTAGAATAGGCCTACTTACTGCGATACTTACCTGGATGTTATTGATCAATATCAATTTGACTTACCTGTAAACCCCTAATTACAACTAATACAACAACAGATACGAACATGTGGAAAAGTTACAACACCTTCAGATGAAGACATGCTTTTATTGAAGTGTTATGTATGGAGAGCATTAATTTTGTCCGAAAAAAAATCCATGTTGTGTAGCTCACAGAAGTCTGTAATTGGTGCAAAACAAATGAGTAAGAAGATGGTCAGTCAAAATCCAGGAAGACAAATTTTTCGGTATTGTAACATTTTGGTGTGTCAAGCGATGATTGTCTATTAAGGCCTTTTTTTGGGCCCCTGTATAATGTATATCCCAATTTTTACCTCCTTAATTTGTTCAAATATGTCTTATTGTATCACATGCGCAAAAATTAAGGCGAAAGTTTGACAGAAAGTGGAATTTTTTTAGGGTACCAATACGGGTAGGGTAAATCACAAATATAATTTGCTTTTTTCAAAATGAGCTAAATCGACCAAAATAATACATTTTTGTTTTTGGAAACATTGGCTTTCTGGACATTCTTGGTAGATATGTCCAGAAAGCCAATGTTGTTATGACCTCATGAATGTTTAAAAAAATAATTTCATTCCTTATATTTACATTTTTAAGTGCTTTGAATTTTCCGATGCAGGCATAAATAAAAAAAAACTTATTTTGTTTTCTATTTATACATGAGGGCAACGCAAAAGAGAGAATAGCATGTTTTTCATGCGAAAAATGTAAAACTTTCAATGGGGGTCCTAGCAACAGCGAAACAACTAAACAAACAATACATAGTTCCATTTTCAAAATTTAGTTTGTAGGATTTTCCTGATTTGTTTTCTTTCTTTTTAAAGTAAACTTACAAATCAAAAATGGCATTTGCCACCTCAACTATTGAAAAATGATTAATTTAATATTTGAAGTTCGATTTGCTGGTAATTTTAAATCTCCTGGCCTCAAGAATTGTTCTGCCTATTTCCAATAATAAGACCTGATTGTACATAAAGGTATTTTGAGATAAGCATGCAACTTGGCATAGATATTAGTTATATGATAATATTTAATTTGTAAAAGTTTCATACTTATCCCACAATGCCTTTTTACTTAAAAAGCACCTTTTCTTGTGTTTTGGAGTACAAGGACTAAAATGCATCTCCTTGCCTAACAACAAATATTAGGCTGACCAGAAGCTAGATATTTCATGCTTTGAATACTTCAAGAGAGACTAAGTTGTATAGACTAGTACAGTATTGTAAAGAAATATTGGGAAGTAGAGAGGGTGTAGGGTGTATCAGGGTACCTGAAACATACATTTTGTTTGGCCTTAAATACACTAAATCTCCAAACTGGAGATGAGATTAATTACAACTTTTATCCACATTACTTTCCATATTTAAACTTATATATATCTCAACAATTGAAGGGAAAATCTAATTTTTGTTTCCAAATCAGTTTCAAAGTAAGACTTACTTTGATTTTCTCAATGTTTTATGTCATTAAAACCTAATTTTGATACATTAAAACCTAATTTTGATACATTAAAACTTATTTTGAATACATTCCATTAACTGGTGACTGTTACTACAGGCACATTGATGGTAGGGACAGCAGATGTAAATTATTTTCCTCTTGTACTACCACAGAGGATCATCAGGATTGCACTCTGTCATTCTGTCCGTACGTCTGTCTGTCTGTTGATCACTTACAACTGCTGAATTTTGTTTGTGCAGAATACACCATTAGGGATGGTAGAGTGTCACATAATGAATAGGTTTCCTGCCTCACTAGTTAGTGTTATATGACCGGCGTTATTTTGTGTCAGTTTGTCGGGAGCCAGCCTGTATTCTTATATACTCCGTCAATTCAAAAAAAAATATTTGAGTATCTCTTGGATGGCAGAGTATGTAATGTTTGCTGTGTATTAACATTCCTGATTTTCAAGGGTGCTATGGAACCACGAAAATAAATACACACAATAAAGGACTATGTATGGTTTGTGCCTGTTTTGGCCCCCAAATGCTTCAAAATTCAAAACCTTTAAATGAACTTTGATATGACTGTTTCTTTAATTTCGAATACTTCCCAAATACTATTATGAAAATATTTATTTATATTTCTAATTATTGTTGCCATGGTAACAAGTTAAAATTTGCATAAATTAGAAAAAAATGAATATTTAGTGAATATTGTGATATTTTGCATAGTTTTTCTCCTAGAAACTATAGAGTGCATGCTTGAACAAACTTAATATCAAAGGATAATGTGTAGGCACCTGTAATACATCTTTAGGAGAAATATAAAGTTTGTTCAAGAGTGCGCTATGTGGTAGCTAAGAGAAAAACTAGATGAGTCAGTCAACTTTTCCTTTAAAACGCTACTTGTCCTGAACGGCCAAGTAGATTTTGACTAAATTTGGTCTAGAGTATCCTTAGGCCAAGGGGACTCAATTTTGTATAAACGGTGGTTGTGGCCCCCCTGGGGGCAGAGGGGCGGGGCCGAATAGGGGAAATAGAGGTAAAACCTTGAAAATCCTTCTTCTACCGTAGGGATTAAAGGATTTTATCCTAATTTAGTCTGGAGCATCCTTGGGCCAAGGGGACTCAATTTTGTATAAATGGTGGGTGTGGCCCCCCTGGGGGCTGGGGGGCGGGGCCCAATAGGGGAAATATAGCAAATTCTTTAAAATCCATCTAATTCAAGGATTTGTTCCATATTTGGTCTGAAGCATACTTGGGTGAAGGGGAACCAATTTTGTATAAACCATGGGTCTGGCCCGCAAGGGGCCTGAGAGGTGGGGCCCAATAGGGGAAACATAGCAAATTATTCTTTAAAATCCTTCTTCTTCTGTCAGAATGAAAGGATTTGTTCCATATTTGGTGTGGAGCATCCTTGGGTAAAGGGGAACCAATTTTGTATAAACGGTGGGTGTGGCCCCCCTGGGACCTGAGGGGCAGGCCCAATAGGGGAAATAGAAGTAAAACCTTTATAATCCTTCTTCTACCATATGGATTGAGGGATTTTATCCTAATTTAGCCTGGATCATCCTTGGACAAAAGGGACTCAATTTTGTATAAACAGCGAGTGTTGCCCACCTGGGGATAGAAGGGAGGGGCCCAATAGGGGAAACTTAGCAAATTCTTCAAATACCTTCTTCTTCTGTACGAATGACAGGATTTTGTCCAAATTTGGTATGAGGCATCATTGGGTAAAGGGGAACCAGTTTTGTATAAATGGTGTGTCTAACCCCCTGGAGGCAGAGAGGCGGGGCCCAATAGGGGAAATAGAGGTAAAACCTTTAAAATCCTTCTTTTACCATAGGGATTTAGGGATTTTATCCTAATTTAGTCTGGAGCATCCTTGGGCCAAGGGGACTTAATTTTTAATATGCAGTGGGTGTGGTCTCCCAGGGGGCAGAAGGGTGGGGGCAAATGGGAGAAATTGAGGTAAAACCTTTTAAATCCTTCTTCGACCATCGAGATTAACGGATTTTTTCCATATTTAGTCTGGAGCATCCTTGGACCAAGGGGTCTCAATTTTGTATAATTGGTGGGTATGACCCCCCTAGGGGCATAGTGGTGGGGCTCTGTTTGAAGTTTGTTCTCGCAATACCTCAAGTACTGGATGGATCTTTCTGAAATTCCATATGTACTTACAGCACCTACCATGGAGTGCTATATCTTGACTTCATACCAATTATTTTAAACATATTCAGGTGAGCGATACAGGCCCTCTGTGCCTCTTGTTAATTTTGATGGATTTGGGGGCCAAAAAAGGCCCAAACCATACATAGTCCTTAATTGATATACTTTATTTCTGTTTGCTTATCTGAGGTATTTTACGAAAGTTAACAAAACAATATAAAAAGCTTAAAATCACAAAGGAAAACACCAACCTACATTTCATGTTATTACAGTACTAAACTGTAATCTATTGCACTACTATATGTAGAGTTACGTCCCGTTATTCAATTTTGGTACCAATATTTAAGTCCAAAGGTTGGGGACTATGGACTGCTTGTACTATTTTGCTTTGTTTATATTTATTTCATTTCATAGAAAGGTTAACTTTCTGAATCTGAATTCAGAAATGAAAGTCCTCATTAAAAATGATTAACAGAGTCCAGATTAATGTACATTATATGTAATGTGTATTATCAGAGTTTAGATAAATGTGAATTATCAGAGTTCAGTTAAATGTGGATTATCAGAGTTTAGATAAATGTGGATTATCAGAGTTTAGATAAATGTGGATTATCGAGTTTAGATAAATATGGATTTTCAGAGTTTAGATAAATGTGGATTATCAGAGTTCAGATAAATGTGGATTATCAGAGTTCAGTTAAATGTGGATTATCAGAGTTTAGATAAATGTGGATTATCAGAGTTTAGATAAATGTGGATTATCAGAGTTCAGTTAAATG